TTCTTATAAGAAAAATGAAGCAATTCACTTTTTCACATTCTGTTCAGATGTACACGTCTTGTGTGTGTTTTGGTGGAGGTTCTAGTTTATTTTAATGTCATGTAAATTCTGACAAGATTTCCATTTTTATGGGCATCGACATCTTTGATATTTACTTCAGTCACTGTCACTGTGGTTATAGATGCTATTCATGACTGTCGTGAGAATAGAAAAGGACTTGAGCAAGAGAGTTCAATAGAGATGAGTTTTGTCCTGAAGTCAGAGAGAATGAAGAGACTTACAGATAATGATGTTAAATGTGTTCATGAAGTCTTCAGATAGTCTGTTGAAGTTGATTGAGATTCTGTTGCTCCTCATATGAGGTTGTAGTTGGAGGTCTTCAGCTCTTCTTCAGCAGGAGCTTCATTCTGCTTTCTATGGTGAGTCAGAGGCGTTTGTCTGAGGACGTGACGGAGCCAGAGCCTCCAGAAAGCACTGAGATCAGAAAACTAATGACAGGACAAAACCAAAACACAATAAATGTTATGAAAGATGACTTAAAATGATACATTTCTTTTGTTTGAAAAAAAAAAAAAAAGCTCTTGGACTCGCTTTATATTTTTGCCTTTTTTCTCAGATTCATACAGATCTACACTGACTGTAACTCCAGACAGTCCTGTATTCACTGGAGAGAGAGTCAATCTGAAGTGTGTGATTGAGTCTCACAGTAACTGGAGATATGAGTGGGATAAAGGCACAGACAGTGTAATGTTACAGACGTCTGAGCGTTACACTGTAAACAGAGACACTCTCACTATCAGAGGAGCTACTGAGTCTGATCAGGATCAGTACATACTGAGTCTGATCAGGATCTGTACTGGTGTAGAGGACAGAGAGATAAAAGACCAAAATCATCACAATCAAGCTCTGTTTCTCTCACTGTGACGGGTGAGTTAAATATCATTGTCCTCATAAACTCACTCTGTAGTGACTGCTGGTAAAAACTGCTTCGCTAGCTCCACCAGCAGGTCAGTTTATGAAGAATTTGGTCTTCACTAAGCATCTCATAATCTTTAGACTGATTGCAAATGGACTTTTGATATTGAATCTTTTTTGAATGCATAAATCAGTTGGACACATTATATGATACACCAGTCAGGAATGTATTAAATTTTTTAAAAGTGACGGTAAAAAAAAATATTTATATTTCAAGTAAATGCTGTTCTTTTGTTCTTTTTAACAAAAAAAAGACATTATGTGAAAATCTGAAATGTCTTTGTAAGTGGATCTCAAATGACACAAGCTGCATAACTGGGTTTCATCTCTGTCTCAGGTGTCTCTCCTTCAGTGTCTCTGGTGGTCAGTCCCAGCAGAAGTCAACACTTCTCATCTGACTCTCTCTCTCTGAGCTGTGAGGATCAGAGTAACTCTACTGGATGGACAGTGAGAAGATACACAGACAGAAACACAGAAGATTGTTCAAAACTAACAGGATCTACATGTCGAATCGACTCCCTCAACACATCTGACGCTGGAGTTTACTGGTGTCAGTCTGAATCTGGAGAGAAACGTCATCCTCTCAACATCACTGTTCATGGTGAGTTGAATGACATAAAACTAGATGAAATATAATAGATGATCTGTTTTAATACACATGTTGCCTTCCTCATCCTAATAGATGTGTGTTTATCTGTACAATATGTGTCACCATCATCTTCCTACATGCATGTATCTCTTGTGTTGTGTAGATGGTGATGTGATTCTGCTGAGTTCTGTTGATCCTGTGATTGAGGGAGATACTCTGACTCTACACTGTTTACATCGATCTACAAACTCCCCGATCCTCAGAGCTGATTTCTATAAAGACGGATCCCTCGTCCAGAATCAGACGACAGGAGAGATGAGCATCACGACTGTCTCAAAGTCACATGAGGGTTTCTACTACTGTAAAACAGAGAGAGGACAGTCACTGCACAGCTGGATCTCAGTCAGAGGTGAGAGTCAGTGGAGTTCAGTCACTGTCAGCTGATTCGATTTCATTCATGAGCAATCAGTTACAGACAGCTGTTTATTATTTCACATAACATAAATGTATCAAATCATATACAAAATATACTTAATGTTGTGCTGTTATTGTAGCCAACTAAGTGAAATCATCACCTCATTAACAACATCGTATAATTCAATATTATCACTCAACAGCCTTAACATAAAATCAGATCAAACATTTTAGTGACATTCCTGTCCATAAATAAAATTATTTTCCATTCAAAATCAGCTAGGAATGAATCTGAATGTGCGCATGTCAAGTACAGTATTTTTGGAGTGAGGAGCAGATTGGTGTATCCCCTAATGAACAGTGAAATACATTTTCATAAATCAATATACAGGCAAACAAATGTGCCATAACAGTCTAATTTTACAGGCCTACATTTCATTCTTCAGCATTATCTATTAGTGTTAAGGAAGAAACACTGATGTTACATGTGAAGACATAATGTTAAGCCAATTGAGTTTGTGTTATGTCAATTGGGCCTTTAATATAGAGCTTATATTGTTCAATAATGTGCTTCTGTTTGCTTGTCCATCTGTTTTTCAGTGTCACGTTCAGGTCAGATTTCTGTCTTCAACATCCTCAGTTCTCTTCTGGCAGCTTGTCCGTATCTGCTGGCGACAGTCGTGCTGCTTTTCAAATGCGGCAGAGCGAGAGGTAAAACTTCTGTCTGATCCGTCTCTCTCCCTCACAGGGTCTTTTCTACAAGCTAAAAAATAAATATTTTTTTGTGTGTGTATTTCACAGTTCCATCTGCTGAAGACCAAAGCCAGTATGCAGTGAGAGAAGAAACTTCAACCTGATGTTTTAAAAAATTCAGAATATTTATCATACTGTTATTTCTGTCAACATATTTGATTTACCTTATATCATTTATATTTGAGTGTTATTCTGCTTTTATTTCCTCATTTTTATATCCTCAAAAGAAAGAAAAAAAAGATTTTGTTGGTTTTGGTCACCAGTTGCCTGTTTTAGATCACTTAAGTATTTAGTTAACATTAGAGACCAAAGTTTTATTCTGTGTCACATATTCTGTATAAATGAATAAATTAAATTAATGTGTATTCCAAAAACTGTGTAGCATTATAGGAGTAAATAAATATCTCGGTTTGTCTTGCATGTGTATCATCGTTTGTAATTCATCATTTAATCCAAAAACAATGTCAACTATGTCTTATATATATTGAAAAACTGAATGTGAGGGACACCATTATTCCTTATAAAACAATTTAATAGAACAGACCTCCACTGACAAGAGGTTGTGATTTTTTTTTTTCTTACTGAGAAAACAAATTGACTAAGACGATTAAAAAGGTCCCGCAAGTTGTCCATATTCAGAGAAATAGCCTCTTAACGTTTATTAATCTTCTAAAAAAAAACAGGCTGTTTGTTTTTGAAACTGTAGACAGATGCAGAAACCCTGTGCTGACGAAAAAGTGACATGTTAAGATTAAATGTATTGCTTTACTTGCTATATGGAACACAACATCCATTTCTTTGTTTTTTCCAAAAAACACTAAATGAACCACTTTATGGCAAGCTGTTTTAACATTTAATCTATAAACCGCACTAGTATCTAATTTAACGTTACTAGTACTTATTTTTTAGATACTAGTATATTTTCCATTAAGTACTAGTACTTATTCATTAACTACTAGTGCTTATTCTTTAGGTACTAGTGTCTTTTGTAAAGTTACTTGTACTTAACCCTCTTAGCGCCAAAGTCGCAAAATTGCGACAAGATGTCATACTTAATCAAATAGACTGTAGTTCCTATTATGGTGTAATATCTCATTTGTATTCCCTACCACTAGATGGCAGACATGTAGTCGATTCTAGACCAACATTACGTCACCTTCCTATTCAAAGTGTTCAAGGAAATAGCAGAGCAAGTGAGCTATCAATTTACATTAGATCTCTATCTTTAAGCCCTTTCAAGCCACAAGCTTTTGAAATCTTGATGTCAAAATCCAGCATTTAAAAAAAAAAACCCTGGTGCCTAAAGGGTTAACATATACGATTAAAGCAAGAGCAAGAAGACAAACACACAGTAAATACCAAAAGAAGATGCAAGACTATCAAAAACTATCACACAACATGCATATGGATTGTAAATATAGACGAAACAACCAAATCGTCTCTATGATGATATCTATTGGACAGCGAGATGATAGATTAATACAGGAACAAGCCTATTGCTATTTTCTTATAATATTCATTATTCTGTAATATATTAGTAATGCAACAGTTATGTAAGATGACTATGTACCCAGTGGTACTGTATCAGTGGTTAGAAGAATCATGTGTTGTGGTGACACAAATCTTGTTTTAAAATGTCATGGATTATGAATATATGCTATGATTAATAATTATGGGTAATATATCCAATTCACAAACTTTTGGTACATTTTTTAATTCTAATGCTGATGAAAGTTGTCTGAGCATTCATCAAATAGATCCAGCAACAGAACCTGAAATTTTACAAATTAATTCACAAGTATAAAACATGTATCTTCGTAAGTGCCTTATATTATGATATTTTGCACTGTTTTTAGTTTATTTCACCTTAAATCTTCAGTTTGGAGTAAACAGTGTCAGAACTCTCCTTTCCTAACATATGACAAGAGTGGCTCATACATTTATTTCACATTTATCTTATTATACATGCATTTATTTTCCTGTATTGTTACAACAAACAGCTGCAAAAGACATCTCAGCAGGTTTGGTGTCATACCTTTGTTTTCTTTCTTAATTTCATTCATTGATTTCAGGTCAATCTTTACATAGGTTACATCAGAAGGTCCATCCATATATGTTTGTATTTACTGAGAATTTTTTTGTTCTAAACTGATGATGGCTACTATTTTAAAATTAAATTTTATAAAATTAAATCATTTAAACCAAACTACATGATTCTATATAGGTCAGATATGCAAATATCATCCATCCATCCATCCATCCATCCATGTCACTGTAACCTATCTAATCACACATTAATATTCAAACATTTATGTTAAATACTGCTATTAATGTAAAGATATTGTGAGTATTTCTGGGTTATTGATTGAGACTGACCGGACCGCGGTGGTGTTTGTCCACTCTTCTTCTGTTCTGACGTCTGACTGATGTTTTGCAGCTGATGCTCAGTAGAGGGAGACGGAGATCCTGCACCTACTCAAACACAGAGAAACCTCAGGAATGATTCACAAACAGCTTTCCTGCCCTCAGATTATGACAGATATTTATACAAAATTATCTTTAACCATAAAACACTTCCAAAGGTCATTATAGTTAAGACAGTCTGTATAAGTAGTCTATGCTGATTTAAAGAGATGAGATGAACCTTTGTTGTGTTTGCAGCACCACAGCCGGGCCAGTAAGAACATGAGCAGAAATGTGACACTCAGTCCTGCAATCACTCCAATTATCAGAGCATGAGCTACTGAAAATTCTAGTCCTGAAGATCCTGATGTTTTAAAATAAAAGGTCAGTAGGTCAAATTAATCAAGTCGGTCAAGTTAGCTACCCTTGTAGCTAATCATCTGCAATTTGATTGTGACATGTTTTAGCCTAAAGTAAACCCATTTATTTATTAAAATAGCTTTTGTTTAAATTATTTATCTGCAAATTTACTACATATGATATAAAGTAAATAAATAGCGGAGCATGAATCAATGCACATTACATTAAACATTAAACATGTTGGTAAAGGGGTCATATGATGTTGCTAAAAATAACATTATTTTGTGTATTTGGTGTAATGAAATGTGTTTATGCGGTTTAAGGTTCAAAAAACACATTATTTTCCACATACTGTACATTATTGTTTCTCCTCTATGCCCCGCCTTTCTGAAAAGCGTCGACTTTTACAAAGCTTGTTGTAAATACAACTTAACCACTGATTTCTAGTCGTGTCCATTTTTGGAAGGCCAAACAAAGTAGTTTCGCTTTCACAACGAAACACAGCGTCACACACGGCGGCCTAGAGTGAGCAGAGGCGGCGGATTCGACGAAGAAGCGGCCGGAGGGCTTGCGGAAACCACATGTGATGGGCCCCGGGCTGGACTCCGCTTCGTCCACGGTGAAAGCCGATCCGGTGATCCACAGCGCAAAGTTATAGTATTTCCTCAGCAACCAGCACGGATCAGCTCTAGGCATGACGAAGCGGATATCATCCTCTTTTGGAAGGCCAAACAAAGTAGTTTCGCTTTCACAACAAAACACAGCGCGGCGTTATGCAAATCTTCCGAGATCGTGACGTAGGTATGTGGGGGTGTGTTAGAACGAGCCGTTTTAGGTAGGCGTGGCTGACTCTTAACTTTTATAAAGAATCTCTTTGGATTTGAGACTTTAGTCTTTGCAACTTTACAGATCTTCTTTATGCACCAAGAGCTTGTAACACTCCAAAGAGAAAGGAAAAATTGAAATCGCATCATATGACCCCTTTAAGGTTTCTTATTTGTTATTTACAGACATTTTTGCTCATGTAGTCAGAGTGATGTGAACAGATATAAACACACTCACCTGATACGGTCAGCGTAACTTTATCACTGGTGTGTGAGTATCGTGATCCTCCTGTTTCTCTTCCAGTACAGCTGTAATTACCTGTGTGAGATTCACTAACAGAACTGATCCGGTATTCCTGAGATTGACTGACATTAATCACTGAATCATCTTTATTCCAGCTGTATCTCCAGCTGGTGACGTCTGTCTCCTGTATGTCACATGTGAGAGTGACCGTCTGTCCTCCTCTGAACAGACGTCCATCAGGCTTAACACGCACTACAGGCTTGGGTCTCTCTGTGCAAAATAAACTGAAGTTTACTTTAACCGACAGCACATGATATTGTGGATGGGGGAAATTAATCTTCATAATATTATTGTAAACTGAAAATCAGATTGTCCTGTAAAAATAGCACTGACCTCCTACAGTTAGCACGACTCCTTGGCTTTGTGTGGTCTTTTTTTCTACAGTACACGCATATCTTCCTCCATCAGAGACTCTCACTTTTCTCAGTGTTTCTGTTTCAGAACCAGCTTTTATTCTCTGAAAGTTTTTGAACCAGTAAATTGTCCGTCCAGTTGATCGTCCCTCATCACAGATGAGAGTAACTGTGTCTCCAGTGAACACTGAACTCTGGGGCTTTACAGTTAATTTGGGCTTGCCTGTAAATATTTCATGATACATCATGACTACTTCATGAGTCATCATCTATCACTGCATTTCTGGTATTTGTATTGAGACTGGGTTGTTTCTACTGTAGATGCTGTATGTTAGACAGACTGAATGTTAATTGTGTCTGCTTAATCTCAATACATGACATTAACTAACCACATAACGTGTATTATATTATTCATGTTACTGCCATATGGAAATTTGGCTGATAATAAAATACTTCCTATAATTGTAACACTGAAAGTTGAGCACCTAAGTGAGTTCAGCACCCAATCTGAGGAGCCATGTCTCACAGGATTTGTGTCTTCATGTGTCGTCTTTATGAGACCTCTCATGTTAGAAGAGCATAAAACAGCCATACAATTATATTACTCATAAAGACAAAGAAAATAAGCTGACGTGTGAGGCAAAATTAAGAAACATTTAATATAAATAACCCAGAATCAATAGATTAAATTTCGTGACTATGTCATGAACTGCCGTGAGACTGAGTTGCTAGAAATGTTTACTAGTAGTTTTTTCTCAGTTGGCGTCAATTCATTGTTTATGCATTTAAGCAAGATCCTGATGTGTATCAGTGATGATCACTCACCCGAAACACTCAGAGTCACAGCATCACTCCATTCAGAGCAGAATGATTCTCTGCAGCCTTTACACTTGCATGACTGTTTGAGCTGTGCAGTGATCTTGAACTCTTTCTCCTCAGAGTTGTGCTGTTCATCTCCACACTGCCATGTGTATGTCCAATCTTCCCCCTGTATGTCACATGTGAGAGTGACAGTATCTCCTCTGAATATCTGTGATGGTTCAGGCTGAACAGTCAGACGAGGTTTAGGTGCCTCTGTAAGAACCGAACAAACAGAAGTTATGCTAAAACATCCAAAGAAGCCACAATAATGTACACATCTACACGTGTATCAGTGTTTATTTCTTGTCTTTGTCCAGGAATGGTGCAATACAATGAAAGCACTTACTGCTGTATTCCTCTGAAGCCTCTTGCCCTGCATGATGAGAACAATAAACCCACTTTATTTACAACCACCTTTTTTTCTCTGTAAATAAAAGCCCCTCTTAACATGTTATTATTTTTAAGATCATAATGTATATGCATTATATTTAGTATCATAATGTATATGCATTATATGGGTGAATATTTGAAGAAATATATAAATCACCTTGAGTGTGTGCAGGGCGGATGTTTGAAATCAGCACTGAAAAGTGAAAAGAGACCATTATTGATTAATTATTAGATTTAGTTGCTTCTAAATAGAACTACATGAATATCTTTCAAAACTTTTGAAAGGAATTCCACAAGAAAAGCATAGTTTAAATCGCCATTTGAATAGTTTACACTGATTAAAAGTTTGAGAGAGAAATTAACTCTTTTATAGAAGACTAATTCAAAATAGCAAACTACAAACAGTGTCAATGGTATTTTTTTTACAACAGATTTTAGACCAATTGTATATTGTTAATGAGCAGAATTGCTCGGCTCAACTCTTTCTATCTTCTCTATTCTATCAAATCAGATCAATCTATCTCTATTCTGATGGAGGGTGAAAGATTGAAGACAACATCTATGTGCATTGCTAAGAATATCAATGTGATGCTGTCATCATACCACTGAAACAACAGAGACACTGAACTGCAGATCTTATTTTGCATGCCATCAGTACTTCATAAGTGGTCAGTCATGTCAGCACATCACATCACAAGTAAAGACTATAGGTGCACTAACTGCTGATGAAGATCTACTGAAGAAAACAAACTTCCAAAAATTTCAGAACATGATAAATAATAAATACAGATCTCACTCAGCTACATGCAGCACATGTGAGTATAATTAGCTTTCATGCACAGATATCATGAACTGGATTTGATACTAAGATTAATAGCAGCATGAATGAACATATTAAATACATAAGACGATGAAATACAGATGAACACTGATTCACTACATCATTACATAAAATAAGAAATGAATGCATAAATGAGAAAATTATACTCACAGAGCATTAGAGGAAGTAGACTGAGCTCCATACTGATCTATTAATGACACAGTCAAACACACAGGCTGTTTTATACTCAACACTTCCTACAAATAAGGAAGAAAATGACTCGCCCGTAAAATGTGTCATCCTGTCTTTTGTGATCATTTTTGAGAATATGGAAGATTATTTATTAACAAGTGATTTAATTTAGTGACACACACACACACACACACACATACTTACTTATAAGAACATACAAAACTCTCATCAGACATGTTCATACATGGACTTTATACTGATGATTTGTTAGGGAGGGATGCAAAGCTACATCAAACTGTATGAGAAGGGATTTATTTTAGTGCTGGATCTAAATCGCGGTTTAATGCGGATCGTTTTTAAACCTATCGTCAGGCTGGTCAAATAAGGCAAGGCAAGAAAAGTTTATTTATACAGCACATTTCGTACACAATGGTAATTCAAAGTGCTTTACATAAAAGAAAGTAAAATAATCATAAAAAAACCCCACAAAAATAAAACAAGGAATTTAAAAACTTTGAAAATGATTTATAATTGATTTAAAATTAATTTAAGACAGTTAAAAATAGAAAATGATTATACATACATAAAATACAGTGCAATCAGTTCGGACATCGCACAGTGCTCATTCAATAAATGCACAGCTAAACAGATGAGTTTTGAGTCTGCATTTAAATGTCAGCATAGCTGTGATAGGCAATTTGGTTCCCCTTCAGGAACTCGAGCTGCATCCGAAAACGCTATGGGAACGCCCCCAGCGTGACCATGCTCTGAATCACATGTGTAATCAGTCCAATGGAAGGGCGAGACGTCATAGGCGGGTGACGTAGCGACCAGGAAGCTATAAAAGCACGTGAGGTGGAACCGGCGTCAGCTTTTCTGTCATTCAGCTAGCGCTCTGTGTGTGTATACGTTCAGTTCCCCGCGGTACTGGCCCCGCTTCCGCCTAGGCGGAGCGGCAGCTGCACTTGTGGGGTTCGCAGGCAGATCTGGCGGAGGGAATGGAGACGGGTGAGTCCCTATCTTCTTCCTCAACTGCTAGGTCCGGCGCCCTCTCTCTCTGGGATCGGAAGCCCGCTCCACGGTTTCTTCCCCCGCACAGAGGATGCGCCTCATTCGCCCTAATATGAGGAGCTTTTGGAGGTGGTGACTTTGTGCGGTAGCCAAATTAAACATTGAGTGGCCCGCTGAGAAACAGAATGAGCCGCAGAAAAGCAAGTTAAATGAGCGTTTTCTGTGGACCAGGCCACCACCTCCACACCAGAGCCTGCCTTTTTTCCCCGATCTCCATGCTGAGGTCTCGAGATCATGGGCTCGGCCATTCTCGGCCCGCGTCTTCATCCCCGCCTCAGATTATTATGGAAATGTGGGGGGATTGAATGAGTGCGGTTACAGAGCGATGACCCGCGTGGAACAGACCTTGTGAGCTATCTGTCCCCTGGCGTGGCATCGTCTCTGAAGGCTCCGGTGCTGCCCACCAAGCCGCTGCGTACAACATCAGCACTGGTGGGCAAGGGGTATGCGGCAGCGTGTCAGGCGGGTGCGTGTCTGCACACTATGGCGGTGTTACAGGCGTACCAGGCTGACCTGCTGAAAGACTTAGACGAGGGAGAGGAGATCAAGTCTGAGAACATCTCTGAGTTAAGAAGGACCGCTGATCTCTCCCTCCGCGTCACCAAAGAGACCGCTCGCGCCATCGGACGGTCCATGGCAGCAATGGTGGCGGCGGAGAGGCATTTGTGGCTGACCCTCTCAGATATGAGAGAAAAAGACAGGGTCTGCCTCATGGACGCCCCGCTTGCACCTTCTGGCCTGTTTGGCGACACCGTCAAATCGGTCGACTCGTAAACAAGCGGCGGCGTTCCAGCGATTCCTCCCTCGTCGATCTCGGGGTGGCTGCTGGGCGGGAGCAGCCCCCTCCGCATACCAGCTCCTCATATAGGGAGGCCCCGGGATGCTCTGGGCTGGGGACTTCAAAGCAAAAACAAGATTTAAGAGCTGTCCTTGAAGCTAAGAAGTCCTCGGCGAAGAAGTCCTGACGCCGAAGTCTCAGGACTTCTGAGGCCTGCCCCTACTGGGGTGGAGCGGTGCACACCGCAGTACACGGTATCTGTCTCGCCTCAGTGCCCTCGGGAGATCGATTTGTTAGCCCTGCTCTCAGTTTTTTCCGCCCGGGAATGTAGCGGAGCTGTTGATATTGGTCTATAATTCCTCAAAATGGTGTTATCAAGATTGCTCTTTTTCAGAAGGGGCTTAACAACTGCAGTTTTCAGGAAGTTTGGAAATGTCCCAGAAAGAAGTGAGGCGTTCACCATCTAAGAGATCTGCTTCAAAACAGTTAAGCACCCTTTTGAAAAAAGATGTGGGTAGTGTGTCAAGATAGCAGGTTGACGTTAGACCTGCCAGGTGCCTCCAAATCCAACATTTTGCTATCAATTGCTTCAAAAATAGACATAGTATCTTCTTTTTGATATTGCGGTCGAATCTGTCTGACCTCTGCATAACTTGGGGATGTGCTAATTGCCTTCCTGATATTAATGATCTTCTCAGAAAAGAAGGAAGCAAACTCATTGCATTTGCTGTCGGAGAGCATTTCACTGCCAATCTGACTTGGGGGGTTTGTCAGTCTCTCAACAGTAGCAAAAAGAGTGCGAGTGTTGTTTAAGTTACTGTTTATAAGGTTTGAGAAGAAAACTTGGGGATGTGCTAATTGCCTTCCTGATATTATTGATCTTCTCAGAAAAGAAGGAAGCAAACTCATTGCATTTGCTGTCGGAGAGCATTTCACTGCCAATCTGACTTGGGGGGTTTGTCAGTCTCTCAACAGTAGCAAAAAGTGTGCAAGTTTTCTCCAAGCTGATTTTTGTCTGCCAGTCTTCTTGCTGACTTTCACAGGAGCAATATCATCAATAACATTCTTAACTTTTGAGTTAAAGGAATCAAGGAGAAGATCAACAGAGTCTGATCCAAAAAAATACCAAACTAAGGTATTTTGACTAAATGTTGTTGACTGTCTCAGAATGTGAGAAAAGGGAAGTATGAAGCCACAAATGTTACTAAAATTTCTGAATGATTTTGCAACCATCTGTTTACGGGTAATTTAATCATGTCTGGTCGACGGCCACTTTAACCAGAATTCATCAGTGCAAAATGAGATGGTGAGATGCGTAAGTGACTGGGGGTCAGTGTGAGTGATTTATCATCTGCTGTTGTCATCTCATGCCATCTGTGTGTGTGTGTGTTTGTATTTACAACACTGTTCCAGAACACTTCAACCCAAATATTCAGATGTGTGCAGCACATTTTATGGAGGACTGTTTCCTGATCCTGGGAGAGTAGACTACAATGCAGGCTGTTCTGACTCACAGACTGTAAGTACGTTTTTTATATTTAAAGAGTTTTTATATTTTATATATTTAAAGCGAGTTTTTTGAGCAGTGTAGAGTAGCGCTTGTTGTTTGTCATTTCTCCGATCACAAATGCAGACATGGTTTTATGTTTACGCGGCGCGATGCAACGCAACGCGTAAAAAAACAGTATAAGTCATTATAATCCGTAATTATGTCCCCACTGGATGCAACGAATGCCTCGTTTATAATGGGTTTCAATGTTTTTGTCTCGTCACTCTGGCCGGACAGGGCATCACAGTGTGTTAAAGGCAGAGTAAGTGATTTTTCAAAAACACTTTAGAAAACTGATTCGGGCCGAATCGCAAAACAAACTTGTAGCCAATCAGCAATAAGGGGCATGTCTACTCGTGATGTGGAGGAGAGAGCGTTCAGTGCATGGGACAGACATTAGCCGAGCCGAGCGACAGAAAGATAGAGATGGCGGATAAAAAAACAAAAGAGGAAAACGTCTGCGGAAAGATAAGGCAAGAAGTAGGACCCGTGAAAATATCGGATCAGCTTTCCAGCGCCGGAGAGAACTCAAGGACCGAGGCCTGCGATCGGACACCAAGGTTGCTTTGTTTCTTCTCAATAGGTGAGTAACACCGTGTCTACAACAGCTAAAGTCTGCCTACACTGGACGCGATCAAACGACCGCTGAAAACCATTTGAAATGTGTGTCAGCACGTCATAAATAGAACCCGGCAGCAGTTTTCTGTTGGGGATTTGTTGCGCCGCGCCGCTCACGTCCGTAGACACGGTGTAACATTGGTTTTGCTTTGTTTCACAGAATTAATCGTTGCAGAAAGGCAGGGCATAGAGGAGAAACAATAATGTACAGTATGTGGAAAATAATGTGTTTTTTTAACCTTAAACTGCATAAACACATTTCATTACACCAAATACACAAAATAATGTTATTTTTAGCAACATCATATGACCCCTTTAAAAGACGTGTTTTTGCCATTATTTTGCGTTACTCTCTCATCGCCGCGGCTGAAAAGTACCACATGAAGCACAGCTTTTTCTTAGGGTGGCAATTGCCACCCCGTGCCACCCCGGTAGATCCACCCCTGGTTAATACACAAAATTAGATGAAAGGTACACGCAACCTTGTCCTTTACCGTGCACACGCCGTGGATTTGATCTGACGGTTAAAATAAATGTTCACTTGTAGCAATATTTAGTCTGTAAATAAAGTTCAGTACCTCTACTCTTTGTATACGTTGTTTATACTCCATTAAGCTATTTTACAACTCCAATTTTATTCAAAATATGAAAGGAGAAAACACAAGCACCGGTCGCTCGCGGAGGAACACAGACACTGAACAGAGAGAGTTGAGTCTACACGGTTCTCATGCTGTGGTTAAATGCGCAGCGCCGCCCAGCAGCGGCTCATTGTTGATCATCAGTCAGTTTGTGTTAGTGATGGAAATTTTGATTCTTTCGAGAGATTCGTTCATTTTCAGTTCGTTCACCAAAATGATTCGTTCAGATTCGTTCACTGATTCGTTCAGTGACCATTTCTTCATATTACATAAATACGTCAGCAGGTGGCGAAAAAGAGTATCGGTTATGTCTTAAAGGGGTCATATGATGCTGCTAAAAAGAACATTATTTTGTGTATTTGGTGTAATGAAATGTGTTTATGCGGTTTAAGGTTCAAAAAACACATTATTTTCCACATACTGTACATTATTGTTTCTCCTCTATGCCCCGCCTTTTTGAAACGCGTCGATTTTTCTACACTCTCATTCATTTCGTTCACGAACGAGATATGTAGCAGTTCATTCAACTCACGAACGACATGTACCAGTTCGTTCATTTCGTTCACGCACGAGAAGATCTCTCTCGTTCAGACTCAAAAGAAACTCGTTCAGTGAAGGGCGTATTCGTTCACTACATTCAACAAATCACATGCTCCGTCACATCTCATACTCGAAGGCTATTGGCTCGCGGGTTAGTCCTTCTTTGACAGGATGAAACAGTCCACAGAGCTACCCGGTTCACTGATCTGCGCATGCGCTGCCAA